TCGCATTTAGTTCCTTCACCCTCTGAAATGGTTACTATTCCAGCAGTACAGGCAAGAAAGCAGAGTCTCAGAGAAGGCAGTTAGCTTACCAGATCCCTCATCCAGCGGATAGTAAACCTGCGGTCTGGCTCTTCACTAGCCTGACCCCAAAGCCGGCAACCTCTTTGCCCACCCCCCATTCCTCTTGCTGCAGCAGTGGCTGGAGATGCTGCCCAGCCTTCAGCTCTGCTCCTCTATGGCTCTCCAGGCCATTCTCTGCCTCCCTGCAGTTCATACGGGCTCTGCTCGCTGGCCATCTTCCAGCTCTGTCCTCAGAGAGATGCTACACGTTTCATCAATTCCTGATTAATACTTTGCCTGACCTCCCACCACTCCCAAAACAGAACCTGAGCTCCTTATCCTGCAGATGAAAGGCTCTTCCTTGTCTGCCCCTCCTTCTCTGCAGTCCTCCCCTCTCTGTCTCTGCTCCAGTGCTTGGAAATCCCAGGGGCTCCTCCAACCAGCCATGAACCTCACACCTTTAGCCCTGGGCATTACTGGTCCATCTGGCTTGACCCCCTTCCCACCTGCTCCTTCAGCCTCTTCAGAAGAGTCATTTCTGATTCCTTCTGCCCTGGGCTCCTCCTCCCCACCCCCACGCTGGCCCTGTTGGCCCCGTGGTCCGAGTGAGGAACCCTCCTCTTGAGGGTGCTCACTGCTGCCACAGTCCTGCTCCTGCTGCCCAGTAACTATGGATGCAATGCTGAGCTCCTTAGGCAAGAAATCTTGTCTTGCTCATCCTGGCATAGCTAGTGATTAAACAATGCCTACAATATAATAGGCAGTAGTGCAATGATTGAATTATTAAAGTATGAGCTAGGACCGGAGGGAAATGTATGGAAGACAGAAAGTACCTTCCGGAACACCGGTTCTCCAAGTGTGGACCCTGGCCTGAGGGACACCAGAATCACCTGGGAATTTAGGAGCAGTGCCAGTTCCGGCGCCCCCCCAGACCTATTGAATCGGAAATTCTGAGATGGAGCCCGGCCACTTGCATTTTCCAAGAATTCCACATCATTCTGATGCACACGGAAGCTTGAGAGCCATTGTAGTGGGCATGTCCCTCCCCAGCGCTCTCTGTGGAAGCAGCAGCTACTCACATTTTCACTGTTTTCAGGCACCACAATGAAGCTTCATGTGTACTCTCTGATTTAGATCTCTCAATAACTCCCTAAGGTAGGCGGTTTTGTTATTAAAGGGACATAGCAGCTTGCCCTGGGCTTCACTGACTGGACTGGAGGACCCCGCAATCTGGCTCAGGGAGGTGGGCCTCCCTGAGGGGCGGGGCCTCGGTGACCCCAGTAGAGCCCCGGACTTAAACACCAAGGGCCAGGTGCTGGTTCCAGCTCTGTCACCTCATCACTCATGACTGGGACAACCAGCTTCTTCAGGTTGCGGTTTCATCTGAGGAAACTAGGAGACAAATTTGGGATTTACATGAATCTATGAATGTGCTCCAAAAGTTTCAAGAAGGGGCACCTGGGGGTCTTGGTTAAGTCTCCGACTGGTGGTTTCACTCAGGTCATGATCTCAGGATCCAGAGATGGAGCCGGGGTGGGGTTCCACGCTCAGCAGAGAGTCGGCTTCCCCTTTGCCCCTCCCCGCCACATACACATTCTCTCTCTCTCAAATAAATTTTAACATCTTAAAAAGAAAAAATAGTTGCAAGAATTACAGACATGTGAGATGCAATTTGTGTATGTCCTTCCCACGTCTCAGCCTCCGGAAAGGCAGGCAGGTAACACGCTTACCCCTGCCGAGTGAGGCGGGGCAGGGGTGGGGGTGTGGGGGTGTGGGGGTGGGGGATGGGGGCTGGGAGAGGTTCCCTCCAGCACCAACCACATTCTTCTCACGCCTTCAAGTGGCAACCCCGAGATGGCAACAATTTAGGTCTAAAATAAGTTAGGAAAGGCTGCCCCCTGCTGCCCAAGATGATGAAGATATTGAATGAAGATGATGAATGATTCCCACCTCACACCTGCCTAACTCCTACAGGGGATAAGAGAAAAGCTGTGTGTGCTCCTGGGCACATGGACAGTGTGAGTAGCAAAGATAGGACAAACTCCAAAACTCCAACAGGATTGAAAGTAGCCGTGACACCAAGGGGCGCCTCGGTGGCTCAGTGGGTTAAGCCTCTGCCTTCAGCTCAGGTCATGATCTCAGGGTCCTGGGATGGAGCCCTGCATTGGGCTCTCTGCTCAGCGGGGAGCCTGCTTCCCCCCCCCTCCACCTTTCTCTGCCTGCCTCTCTGCCTACTTGTGATCTCTGTCAAATAAATAAATAAATAAAATCTTTAAAAGAAAGAAAGAAAGAATGAAAGAAAGAAAGAAAAGAAAAGAAAAAGAAAGAAGCTGTGACACCAAAACAGAGTGGTATTCTTTTAAGGCCAGCTGGGTTGAGGGTCCCCAGCGAGATGGTCAAAAGGAAACTTACTTAGAGAGCAAATTACTGATAAACAAAGGGGTAAATGCCACAGGAAAATATATGCAAACAGATAAAAATAAATCATTGCATTGAAGAAAGTGTTCTTCAAGGTGGGAATGGACAAAAGAGCAAGCTTGTCACTTTCCAGTTGGTGAAAGCAATTGATGACCCTTTATCCAAGCAATGGCAGATTGTTGGAGGATCCCCACTCTTCCTGAGTAAAATGCACAGACTTTTTCTTTTTTCCCTAAATTCTAAGAGCCACGTTGTTGCACCCAACTCATGACACCACCAGATTGCACTCTGACGTTCCCCACAGCTGACACCTGTTGCGGGGTGAGGGGATGGCAAGCAGTGGGTCCCATGTGGAAATGGAAATACCCAGGGTAATTTTGTGCTTGATTATTTATTTAAATGCATATCAATAAACCCACTACTAGAGATTTTTAACACAAAAGATCTTGAGGACTACTCAGAAGTATGCATTTTTCACAAGCTTCCTGAGTGATTGGAGACCAGATAAGCAAAGTCAGGACCATAACACATCTTGCATGAACTGATCTTTTTTTGGAAAAATAATGACTTTGTGAATTAAACAAGTAGATTTTTAAAATAACACATTTCAAAGTATTACTTCAAACAACACTTTGTTGGTATTTTCTTGAAAATTTTTATTAACTTTAAGTTTAATTTTACATAGATAATATATGGCTTAAAAATTGAAACAATATAATAGAGACTAAAACTATTTTTACTTCCGCCTTCTTTCTACCTCCTCCACTCAGTCTTAGTAAGCAATCATTTTGATTAAGTTCTTTTGTACCCTTCTAGTGTGTCTTTGTACAGAACCAAGCAAACAAATGCATAATTCTTATGTTCCCCTTTTACTGGACAAAAGATGGTATATGGAAATGCTGACAGGCAACTTGTTTTTTTTTTTCCCCCAGTTAACAGTATATATCTTAGCTTTCTAGAGCAGGAAAACATTTGTATTCTTTTTTAGCATTGAATAATATTCCATTTTGTGGATGTATCCCAGGCTATTTATCCAGACCTTTCCTGATGGGCATTTGAGTTTTCCTGATCTTCTTGCTACCCTAGATAATGCAAGTATTTTACAAACATTTTTTATTTGTATGCAAGAATGATTATAATTATATAATAATATAATATAATGTAATATAATATCATATAATATAATATATAATAATTATAGAATAAACACCCAGATGAGGGATTCCAGGTGAAAAGGTAAATGCATGTGTAATTTTCATAGATATTTCCAAGTTAGTCTCCACTTAGGTTGTTATCATTTTTTGTGAAGTGCATATTCCACTACACACTAGCTAATGGTCTTCTTTAATTCGATGTTGTCAGTCAGGTTGGTGAACAGAGGTATTTCGATGCAGTTTTCATTTGCAAGATTTTTTTCCCTATGGTGAAACACCATTTGCATTTCTTTTTCTCTGAACCATCTGTTCTTTGCCACTTTCATTGTGCTGCTGGATTATTTTCTTCCTGATTTCTAGGAGTTCATCATATACTGGGGAGATCAGCCCTCATGATGAGGATTACAGATGTTCTTTCCATATTGTCGTTTCTCTTTTGATTCTGTGTATATTTTTCCCTGAAAGTGTGTCATCATTATGTAACGAAGTTTATTATTTTTTTTTCCCTCCTAGATTTTAAGTCACAGTTTGAAAGGCAATAAAAGGAAGCACTATTGAGTAAATGAGATCTAGGCCATTCAACTGGAGGTTACATTTCAGGGTCATCTTGTGCAGGAAAATAAAACACTGACAGCAACTTAAATGTACCTGCCCCTCAGGGAAAAGATGGGAAGGCAGTGACTACGATCACATTTCAACCTGCCTGTGACTTTATGTATGCAGCTCTCCACGTCCACTTCCCCAGCTCCCTTTTCCTAACCTTGTTGTCTGAAGTCCACAAGCAGAGAGACAGGCTGACAACACACCAGTGCTCCCACACCAGCACCCGCTTGGAAATACTCTGAGCTCTCAGCTGTCGTTTTGTCTCGCGTAAGGAGCCCTACCCCTGGATAGCTCATGTCAGTTCCCCTCCAGACCACCCTAGAGATTCAGAGTTGGCCAGAGGGACGGTCTGAGTATTGAAGGATCCCATTCCCAGATGAAAGTTGTGGTCTCTGGGTGACAGTCTCAGGGGCAGGCCCTGGGTAGAAAGGGGGACGGTGCTTCTTGGGAAGGTGTCTCCCCACAATGAGTGACGAGTTTACAGAAGGGCGGGTCCTGAGGAAACCAGCCCCTGTGGCAGCAGCCTCACAAAGACACACAGCTCTGGGGAGCCAAGAGTGTCCTGAAGAAAGGGCATGGGGGTGAGGAGGGGGCCCCTCTCCCAGCTTCGTCTGTACCCTGCCACCACCTTGCAACATGGGGAGTGATGTCACCAACCTGCCCTCCAATGCCCTGGAAGGAGCACCTGCTCGGGTGGTTTCTTCCAGGCTCTGATGGGCAGAACCATGGGAGGGGGTGTTTTTTGTACAAAGATGTAACATTGTGGGGACAGGGGGCCACGGTGATTCAACTCTATGGGAAAGCTTTACAAAAACCTTTCTGCCTGTCCCCAACCCCAATTTCTCCACTTTTCTCCTGGGTCATGGGCCTGAGGGTGGTGTGAGTCAGAATGCTCCACCCCACCCCTGTTCACCGGTCAAGCCAACACCATGAACAAGGACGGGCTTGGATCAGGACTGATGCTTACAGGCAGAGAGCCCAGATGGAAGAAGAAAGCCTCACTGGCACCGCCGGTGAAGGACTCCGGGAGAATCCTTCATCCCAAACCCCACAGAACTCAGGGCAAGGTCAGTGGGAAGGTACATGGGAGGTGACCCATCCTATAGAGGAAGAAGCCAGAAATATCCCGGCCCTTCATGGATCTGGCCACTGGCTCCAGGACCCTGCCCTCCTTTCCAGACACACACCTTTTGGGTGGGCCCTCAGAAGGAGTTGAGAAGGTAGTGTGGGGCCTGCTGGATAGGCGCTGGCCGTGTTCTGTGGCCCCAAGAGTCAGCTGGAAATGTTCTGTGCAGTAGGAGGGGCTTTCTTATACCAGAGTCCTCCAGACACCAACCAGGGCTCCATCTTCTTTCCATGCCTCAGATTTGTTTGTTTCCCTGCCCCACATCACTGTGTGAACACTGAACTTTTCTTTGGAGAAGGCACCAGGCTCACAGTTATAGGTAAGACATGCTCTGGGTCTTTCCAGGTCCCTTGTAGGTGAAAGCAGGTCCCAAGTGTCCATTTTAGAGTGGCCATATGCTGATGTGCTATGATTTTACCTTCGGCCCAGGGACCAAGCTGACAGTTGTCGGTAAGGTTGGGGGGCTCTTTAGACTGGGTGTGATGGGGATGATTCTATCCCGGGAAATGGGCGAGGGAAGGGATCACCCAGGTCTTGGGTCCCGGTCCCAAGATGTCATCCCAAGATGTCTGGAGATGTCATCTCCACCTTTGGGAACCAATAACCAGGAGGGTCCTGGTCTGGGCAAATCCACCCAGCCACCGGGGATGGAGGGTCTTCTGTAAACTCAAAACTGAGCCTCAGTGGTTAAGACAGAGGAGAGAAAGGAGATGGTACTGCTCCTCTGAGTAGTTATATAACAGAGGGAAGCCTAGAGAAAGCCCAGAAGGAAATGAATGAGTGTTGACTTTGGTCTGTCTCCTTCACTGACTTGCGCTCTCTGTAGCGGCTTCATATCTTTCCTTGCTCTGAACTTCGTAGAAGGCCACACTGTGGCTCCTTGTTTCTGACTGTCCAGGGACCTGGGCAAGCTCTGGAAGGGAGTGGGGGAAAATATGAAGCAGGGCCGGTGGCTCTGGGAGGGAAGAGGTCCACAAACGCACCAATCTGTCCCCGAATCCCGCTGAACTTGGCAGATGGTGGGGGGGGGGGGGGTCTGAAGTGGATCTGGGAGGCTGTGTTTTTGAAACACCCTACATTTTGGGGAGGGGACCCGGCTCACTGTTGTAGGTAAGTGCATCAGGGCAGAGGGCCGGGAACCCACAAGGAGGGACAGGGGTCCAGGTGGAGCATCCTTCTTGGAGGTTTAGGTTAAAGCACATTTTATCAGCAAGCTCTGAATTCTTGTCTTGATGCGGGCAGGCGGGGACAGCCTCCATCTCCAGTAATTTCATGGACAGGCTATGCTAGGTTTGTGTTCCCCTACTGGGAGGCAGGTAGTCTCCTCTTGGGGTCTCCTTGTCCATCTCCTGTCTCCTTGGAGGATGCCCCATCATGGCCTTGTAAATGGGAAGCCTCTCGCCTCAGAGCTGCCTTACTCCTGCTGTTTCCCTCCCTGGCTCAGAAAGGAGAGGGACCGGGAGAAAGGGCTGGGGGACACACACCTGAATCGGTCCTCTGACTTGGCATTGCACACTGCACACTAGTCCCCCCTCCACACCTCCCAGAGCAAAATTCTGCTAAGGAAAGGGAGAGGAGAGCAGGCAGGTGTACTTGGGAGGGCAGGAATTGGATGCAGCCAAGGGAAGTTTTCCTACCAGTCTGCAGTGTTGTGTAACAATGAAAAACTGTATTTTGCAAGTGGAACCAAGCTGTCTGTCCTGGGTAAGTAAGAGGCTTCCTGGGGGGCAGTGTGTTGCAAGAATGAAGTCCCAGGAGGACTCCTGGGACACAGCAGGGAAAAGGCTCAGGGAGTGTGGACGAGCAGAGGAGGTGCTGGAAGTTCTGGTGGACACTAGCTTCTGGAAGGAAAGGCCCCCGAGAGCAATTCCGGGGTTTGTCACACCCTTGCTGTGCTGTGGAGCAACCAGGCCCAGAACTTTGGAGATGGTACTCAACTCTTGGTCCTCGGTAAGGAGCAGGACAGGGGTGTAGGGCCATTGTCCCTTGGACGTAGGGTCCCCGTCTCTCCTCCCAGCCCTGGTTGCTGGGGGTCAAGTCAACTCTCTTGTCCCTGGGGGAGCTTCCAAAGAGCTGTGGCGGCCACTCCTCTTGGTGCAGCTTGGCGGGTCCCTCTATTTCTCTTCCCTGAGTCTCCAGTCCTTAATATTTTCTCCTTACTCTTTCCTTGGTTCATCCTTCCTTCTCATGTGTGTGCGCGTGTGTGTGTCATTCTAAGCCTGCTCCTCTTTCCCCATAGTATGCTTGGACCTTTCTCCTAACGGACCCCTCAGGTCCAGAGCCACGGTGGAGCCTGGTCCTTGGGAGCGAGGACTTGCCCTCTGGCAGGAGCCCTCCATGGGTTTTACCACGGCTGCCTGCAGCTGTGTTCCTATAACTCGCCGCTCTACTTTGGGATGGGCACCAGGCTCACCGTGACAGGTATGGGGCCGCACTCCTGGCTGGGGTTGTCTGTGTGTGATTGGTCAGTCCAGGAGTGCGGGTGGCAGGGAACAGGGGTGTAAAGGCAGGGCTCAGAGCCACCCCTTCCCCCCTGGAGGTTTGCGGACCCTCGGGTATAGGGCTCCAGATTAGCTCTTTGGGCTTTTTGTGTTCTCACTCTGCTTCTCTTTATTCTCTGGGACTCCTCTCATCTCTCCTGTTTTAAGGGTGTGTTGTTTGACTTTTCTCTCATTCTCTCTCTCTTTTTTTTTTTTTTTTTTGATTTGGATCTTCTCCATTTTCCCTCCTATTCTATCTCCAAGTCTTCACCGTTGACTCCATTTTGGTGAGTTGTTCTGTCTTCTATGTTAAAGTCCTTCTAATATCTACCACCCGCCCAGAACTCTGTGCTAGCCTTTGTCGTCCTCCTTCTCCATCTCGACTAGCTTCCAAAGATCCATATGTGTCTTCCTGAAGTGATCTAGGGCTCAGGAGGCAGCAGAGGGCCAGATTGGTGAGACTGGGCTGATTTGAGGGGTGTTTCTGAGCCCTGAGGGTAGAAGTCCGTGTCACAGTATACTGAGGGCTGCAATGGGTGTCTGGGAGACAGAGTGCTAGGCAAGATCAGAGGAGATACAATTGGAAACTTTTGCCAACTTAGTAATAGATAATAAATAAGGTATAAAGAAGAGAAAATAGGGAGGAGACCCCATTTTCTCAAACCTCAGGATCCATGCTGGGCTGGTAGAGTAAGGAGCCCATCACAAAACACTAATACACCTTTAGTGTGCTTGGGGAGGAAGCAGACAGGTGGAGGACGGGGAATGGTGGGATGGATCTGTGCTGGGCATAGAGACAAGGCCAGAGGAATGGGGTACCTGGTCCTACCAGACTGGCTGGCTGGAGCAGAGTTTGTCCTGCAGATGGAGGCTCATGACAGTAAGTGTGATAACAATTAGAAAATACAAATTACTGGGGTCTGTAATACCCAGAATCTTGGGGCTCATAGGACAGGCTGGGGGATGCCAAGCAATTGGAAAGTGGAAATCTCAGAATCTCTGAGATGTAGAAAATGGGGATAATAGCACCAGCCCCTTAGGGTGTTAAATTGTTAGGGGCTAACTTTTACACAAGTCTTTGTAAAAGGCTCGGCTTATTGGGGCCATCCTTTCCATTTGTGTGTTTATCAGCACTGTCCCAGCCTTTGGCCTTTTTCCAAAACTGCATCTCAATCTTCTCATTTGAAACACGTCCCAAAATGTGGTTAAAGTGAAGACATGTGGGTTTCCCATACTTCTGCTCCAAAAAGCCATTCCTCTGGTCAATATGGAGCCAAATAGAGGGCACAGTCCATTCTGGCAAAAAGACGGGAACATGGGAAAGAGATGTGCTTTCTCTCATCCCTCTGTGTCTTCCCAGGGGCCCTGCCTTCCAACTACTCCAGAAATTCTCCCCCGTGTCACGCATGAAAAGGGCCCAGGGCTTTGCAACGTGAGTTCTCTGACGACACGGCCCTTAGACTTTGAAATTCGTTCATACCCAGCAAATATGACCTGAACTAGGATTTCCAAAGCTGGCAGGGAGGCTTGCTGGGCACTGGAAGGAAAAAAGGGTTGGACCCATGGACAGTATCTTTTATGGGATTATAGCCACCCTGGGCAAGCTACCGCATACCCCGCGTGCCCCAGTATAAATGGAATAAAGGTGAAACATCGGATACATTATACCCAGAGGATTCTAGGCTCCTCAAAGCAGGTTACATGTTTAACTTACACATACACACACACACAGGAAAGAAAAGGGAAAAAAAAGTGAGTCAGGAAAAGCATTTAGAAAAAAGTATAGTCAGATACAACGGGACAGTGTCTCCTCCAGGCAGCAAAAGCTAGTTCTCCTATGTGCTGTCACAAGAACAGACACGCAGACACTTTGTACAAAAGGAAAGTGATAATTAGAAAAGGTTGATTTGGTTCCTGGGATCGTGCTGCTGGAGAGAATCATCAGCCTCAAATCCCAAGCTCATTCAGCTGTACCATAGGAAGAACCGATAAGTCACCCACTGAAGAGGGCTTTGAACAAGGAAGAGAAACAGACTCTCCTGATAGAAATGGAACAAGGCCTTGAGAAAGCCAAGAAAGCCAAGGAAATCAGGACACACTGCTACCTTAGGGGATGGAAGAGACAGTCGGCAGTGTGCACCCATGGGGTAACCGGGAGGAGTGGCAAGGCTGAGTGAGAACCAAACGAGACAGGACCTACTACTATATAATTTTGCTTTAGGATGACTCCATTTCCAGCTCTCTCTGTCTTTCTTTATTTCTGTCACTATCCCAACCCCAGTCAGCTGTCAGACCAGTCCTGGTCCCAAATCCTTTTCCCTTGCAGACAATGTGGAAAAGGTCAAACCTCCCACGGTCACAGTGTTTGAACCATCGGAAGCAGAGACCTCCCGAACCCAGAAGGCCACACTCGTGTGCCTGGCCACCGGCTTCTACCCCGACCACGTGGAGCTGAGCTGGTGGGTGAATGGGAAGGAGGTCCAGAATGGGGTCAGCACGGACCCTCAGCCCTACAGGGAGCGGCTGGATGAGAATGACTCCAGCTACTGTCTGAGCAGCCGGCTGAGGGTGTCCTCTACCTTCTGGCACAACCCTCRTAACCACTTTCGCTGCCAAGTCCAGTTCCACGGGCTCGGGGACGATGACGAGTGGCCCAACGACAAACGGACCAAACCCGTCACCCAGATCGTCAGTGCCGAGGCCTGGGGCAGAGCAGGTGAGCGGGTCTGGGGGCTGGGCAGAGAGTGAGCTGAGCACAGAAAGGGGGTGCCCAGGCAGACACAGGACAGGGCGGGAAGACCAAAGCCCAGCATGAGGGTGAATGGGGACCCCGGGGCTAATTCCTCCCCCAGATCCTCAGCCCAGCAGAGCCCTGCAGCTGCGCCCCCTTCACTGTGTGAGCCTGTGTGGCTCAGCACCGACGGGGGTGCCCCCAGCCCCTCTGTGCCACCACGTTCCACAGAGTTCCAGGATGGCATGGCTCCACGGGCACAGCACCAGAAAGACAGTCTAGGTGTCTAGTCTAGTCTCTTCTGTGTCTAGTCTCTTCTGTGAGAAGCCCAGTCGGAGCCTGGGGTCCGTGCTGACCAGAAGGCTGACTTGCTGCGTTAGCATTTGTGTTTGGCTCGTTCTTAATGGAAGCACAGCTTCCAAATAGTTTTGCATTAGCTTCAGGTGCGCCCAACTTGGCAACTTTCCGTCTGCTTTAGAAGATGGGGTCTCTCACCCATTCCCTCCCCCTTCTCTCTTTCAGACTGTGGCTTCACTTCGGGTAAGTGACCGTCTCCTCTGCTTGCTCTGCGTCTCCCATGGTTTTGTCCCAGAAGCCGAGCATGGAGAACCATGGACCCCAGGGTGGGGGTGGAGAGGCCAGAGACACGTGCTCACAGGTCCCTGTGTGCTCTCCTTTCCTACCCGCAGTGTCCTATCAGCAGGGCATCCTGTCTGCCACCATCCTCTATGAGATCCTGCTGGGGAAGGCCACCCTGTATGCTGTGCTGGTCAGTGCCCTGGTGCTGATGGCCAAGGTAAGGAGGTAGGCAGTATGGGGCAGGCAGGTTGAACATCACACATGGAACATGAGGGGATCTCAGAGGTGACTCAGCCCTGATGTATCCTCTATCTCAAGGAAATTATAATGGGATGACCAGACTGGAGAGAAAGTATGGGGATCATTATGGGATGCTACACCAGACGATGGGGAGAGTCAACCAGCTGTACCAAAATCAGCTCGAGCGTCAGGATCCCTGAGCCCCCTCCTGCTGTTCATGGCCCTTGGGAATTTAATCATGCCCTCTCTTCCTCAGGTCAAGAGAAAGGGTTCCTGAGACCAGCTCAGAAAATGCACCCTGAATTGCTCATCATCCTCCCTGAGATTCTCCCTAACGTGCTCTAGTCTGCATTTCTAGAAGTTAATCTCTCTCCACCTCTTATCTCCTTCTTGCTGGGATATCTGTCCCTTCTCTCTGCTTTCCTGCAGACTGAGTTCCTCAACCCTGAAACGGAAATAGACTAAAACAATAAAAGTGTCCTGCCAGGCCATGCTGTGTCTCCGGGGTATCTATGAAGTTCTGTCCTTTAAAGATTTAAGGAAGGCCCCACCCCTGCCACATACGGAGGGACTGACTCTTCTTTCTAAGCAAGGCTTCTGGCTCCTGTTCATCCTGATTGAGGATGGGCTCCACCATCCATACCCAGGCATTCTGGGCTCCTAGAGTGTAGGGTTGGTCCAAAGGGCAAGGAGCAGGGGACACCCGTGTAAGGATGGGCAGAGGCGAGCCCTAACCCCACCTCAGGACAGGGCCCAGGATAGGGCAGCCTATGGTGTTGAATGCTTGGTCATTTTTCAATTCCAGACTCAAGTTTCATTTGTCACGTGTTTGGGTTTTATCTGTGTCTGTTCTGAATGCCCCCATCTCATCTTGTTTTGAGATTTCAGAAGATACAGCTCTATTCTGCATCCCTAGGTTAGAATCCTAAAGAAGGCACAGAGTTGGAGCTACCAATAAGTGAAGCCCAGTGAAGGGAGCATCCCTTCCGGCCCTGGGGGAGGCATGGGGAAGGGGCTGAGGTATTGTACCTGAGCAGCCCTTCCCTTGGAGGGGTAGAGAGCAGGCCACCCCAAATGCAGCATGTCAGGCACACCCGCCAGGGGCAGTGACAGTTACCTTACTGGGGTAAACTCTCCAATCCAGTCACATTCACTGCAGTAGAACCCTGAGAGGAGAGGGGAGAGGGGGTGGAGAAGGGATGCAATCAGGGGAAAGAAGACACAGACCCACAGACCGGTGAGAGAGGCCAAAGATAGGTTCGTGTAGGCAGGAAGTTAGGGGTGAGAAAGAAGTTTGACACCCAAGAAGGGAGGGGTAAGGTGGAGTCCCTTATTGGTGGCCTGCTTTGTTCCCAGTTTGGGGCTGGGCATTGGCACCAGTGTTGTCCCCATTCATCCCCAGCATGTCCCTGGACGCAGGTGTCCTCCCTCCTCGGCGGGTGAAGAAGCCACAGTTCATAGATTGAATGACTGGTGAGCAGTGACACGTGGCACATTCTCTTGAAGATGGAAACCCAGGAAGTTTGTTCCAAGTAATAGCCAGAATGGTGTGACTGTCACCGGGTGACCATGGAGTAGCCTCACCCCATTTCCAGCGTAGGACCCCAGGAACAGACCAAAGGGCGTGTTTGTTTCTTAGCAGTGTAGTAACAAAGGATCCCAAACTTGATGGTTTAAAGCAGTAGGAATTTATTCTCTCCTAGTTCTGGAAGCCACAAGTGCAAATTCAAGGTGCCCATAGGAACGCACTCCCTTCAACAGGTCTAGGGGAGAATCTTCTCTGTTTCTCCCCACCTCTGGCATCTTCGTAGTCCTTGGCTGTGGCGGCATCTCTCTGACCTTATGCCTGCTTCCACATCACCTTCCCATGTCCCTATGCCTGGATTTCTCCCTTATTTTTTTTTTGTATCAAGATGGGAGTCATTGGATTTAGGACACACCCTGAATTCAGAAGGATTTCATCCTGACACATCCTGACACATGCACCTACAAAGACCTTGTTTCTGAGGTTCCGGGTGGGCATGAAGTCTCGGGGGACACTATTCATCTGAAAGCACCGAGTGTCCAGGAACTAGAGGGGAGGATTCTCCAGACTCAGCTCCCACAGGCCAGGAAAGGACACAGCACAGGGCGGAGGTGGCCTGGGGAACCCTTCACATGCCTGTAACTTCCCATCAGTCATAATTATTTCTAGATGTCTCAAACTGCAGCTCAGTTTTTTTCTTGTTGCTTATTTGTTTTTATAATGACTTAAAAGCCCCAAAACAGGGGACAGAGTTTAGGCGCTAGACCAGCACCTGCAAGAGCCGTGCCTCCCATGATTTAGACACACATGGTGCCTCCTCACAAGGCTGGGACTGGGAGAGGAGCAGCTGAAAGGACAAGTAAGCTCCTCAGAGAAAAGAGGGCGTTATATGGACCAGAGAGGGTGGCCTGGGACAGGTGTTTGTGGGTGCGGAGCAGTGAGGGGGGTAAGCAGGAGCAGGACAGACATGGAGGGGGAGGTGAGGAGAAGAAAACCCCACACAGGAGGAAAACGGGCTCTACAGGCTTGGTGATCCTCACTGGGGTGTGCTGAGCAGCGGCATTAGCAGCTGGGTGGATGTGGGCGGAGATGCCTATGGGCACCTGGGGTTTGCCAATGTGAGGGACATGAAGAATGAAGGAATGTCCTCAGGCGGATGAATGACCCCCACCCTCCTGCTCCTGGATACATAACGGAGCTGGAGAGTTACAAACATCATCTGGTCCCCACTGTACACCCTGTTTGACCCAAGGAGAGTCCCCTTCCCCATATCCTTACATCTGTTTTCTTGTCTCCCTCAGACAGCAATCCCCAGCCTCCCCAATATTCAACTCACAGCATTAGGATGTTAACCTCTTCTGCCTCTGCCCCTCTCTCTGGAATCCAAGTAGGTCCTTCTGGACCAATTCTGGGCATCTGTCCATCCTTCCCCAGGTGAAAGTGAGCAACGACAGGTTAGATGCGAGGTGATCATATCATTTAGTGCACAAATAGGGACACTACTGAGGGTGAGAGATAGGATTCTGGGACAAAAGAAATGAATTAGCAGTTACCTGGGTGGCTCAGTAGGTTAAGCAGCTGCCTTTAGCTCAGGTCATGATCTCAGGGTCCTGGAATTGAGCCCCATGTAGAGCTCCCTTCTCAGTGGGGAGTCTGCTTCTCCCTCTGCCCCTCCCCCTCGCTCATGCGTGTACCCTGTCTCTCAAATAAAGTAATAAAATCTTAAAAAAAAAAAAAAGAAGTGAATCAGGATTATCCCAGCAAATTGGGACACACTCCCATTCCAATTAAAGATTCCAAATTCCAAGGAATTTCTGGGTCCAGAGAATGGGAAGCACTGAAGCGATCCCTCATGGGCCTAGGCCTGTCTGCCTGTTCTAGTCTCAAGGCTCATCTAAACTTCATACCATCCAAAAAACCTGTGAGCAGAAGGTAGCCCAGGGGCAGGCTCCACAAGTGAGACCAGTACAGGGCAAGGCATGCTTCTTGACTGATGAGACTTAGAAGCCAGCTTTCTCTAGGATGCCTGGGGTCCCCAAGTTCTCACCATTCTCCACCTTGGGGACTCACCTTGGGCAGACTCTAGGAGAGGAACCTCAACCCTGTGACCCTTAGAGATTTACTTAGAAACTAAGAGGCAAAGGGGAGCCTCCAACTGGTTGCATCATCAGGAGACCATCCTGGTAGGGAGGGAGGTTCCTGTGGGGAAGGTCTACTCAAGCCACAGTCGCTTGCCCAGAAAAATTTTCCTATCAGCACTAAGTATCTGTGAAAGACTCACATGCCTTCCTCCTGCAGGGCTCATGGCCAGGCTACACAGGCTGGGCAGTGGGGATGGGGGCGGAAGGTGCTGGGACCATCCAAGAGACAAAGAATTTTTTTCTCTTAAGTAAGTGATTAGGGAAGAAGGAAGGAAAGAAAACAGAAAAAAAAAAAAAGGATTTTAGAACAAGAAACGGTGGAAAACGAGCAATGGATCCTGGTAAATATTAATATCTCCCTTTCCTGCCCTGAGGCATTTCCCTATTTTTCCTCTTCCACAGGGACCCAGGGAAGGGCAGCCTGACTGATCTTAGCCTCTTACAATCAGTGTGACACACAGCCCTAAACGTCCTGTGTAGGAGGAAATCATGAGGTCACTACTTAGGGGTGGATGTGAGAACAGAGGATTGGAACTTGAAACCAAAAACACACTCAAGCTGACGTATTTTCATGTAGGGGTGCTAGGAGATGCTAATGGGGATCAGGAATGGCTAAAACCCCCAGGTCAATTCTTAGCACCACTACCGACCTACAGATGAATTGCTCTCCGGCTCACCCATTGACTTCTTCTCAACCTTCATGACCAAGTTTACTTTTACCCTGTCCATGAAATCACTCTATGCCCATATAAGAAGACTCACGGTATGGAAGGCCACCAAGCCCAGGCAACAATTTTAATTACAATTCATTCCCATTGTTTGTGGCAGTCTCCTGAAGTTACTGGAATGATGATTTCTGGGTCTTAACACCCCATAATCTGAAATGTTATCCACCCCATCTGGGGCCCAAACACAAAGAATTTCCTGCCTCAGGGTAGGGCTGGATATCCTCCCCTCTATCTTGGAGACTTTCTGTTCTCAAGCTGTGTTTATGGATCTGAGGTCCCCAGGTTCCTTAACACACCATTCCACTCTGCCTTTCCTGAGGATTTATGGTGACAGCACCTGGCCATATCCTGAATCATCTCCTTCCAACAGAGGACTTAGTTTCTGCTCACCACACACCCACAGTCTCGACTACATGGGGACTCTCCTCCATTTCTGTCCACTGTCCTTACTTTCATTGTACCTGAAGTCCAGTGGGTTAAGCCTCTGCCTTTGGTTCAGGTCATGATCTCAGGGTCCTTGGATCAGGCCCCACATCAGGCTCTCTGCTCAGCGGGGAGCCTTCTTCCCCCCACCCCCGCCCCCGCCTGTCTCTCTGCCTACTTGTGATCTCTGTCTGTCAAATAAATAAATAAAATCTTAAAAATTAAATAAAATAATAAAATAGTGGCTTGAGGGTGGTCCTGGGCTTGACCCTTTCTGCCCAAGTCCTAGGCCACTCCAGCAATTGCAGCTGGGTCCTCTGCACCCTCATTCCCATGGCGAGACTTCCTCTTGACGGGGTTTGGGAATTACACACACTCTTGCTGGTAAGGGTTCTTGTATCCCTCCAGTTATGTCTGACCTGTCCTGGGAACAGAGAGCTCTCTATCTGCCTGAGTCACCGTTTCATCACTGGATGTCTCTCACAAAGAATTCTGTCCTGTTTCCGTATCCATCGGTCACACTGTCCTATCTGTCACACCCTACATTGGCGATCACCATACTCCCAGGATAGCACATCCTGTGACAGCTAGCAAGCTCACCCAGCCGAGTCTACACATCTATGAGAGACAGAAAAAACACCTTTAAAAGCTGGAGTCTGCAGAGGAAGAAAAGCCTAGAGCAGAGACAGCACATTATGGCAACAAAGAATATGCACTTGTAAGCCAGAGAGAACCCGGTGGAAGCCTCAGATCCGCACTTATCAGCTTTGTGACCCCCTCTGAGCCTCAGCTTCCCTTCCTATGAAATGGGCTGAATCACAAGGCCAACTTCATTAGGTGGTTTCATCTTACGAAGGGACACAGCACGCAAGGCTGCTCTTACAGCCTTGATAAATATTAGCTACTATTATAAAAATTATTATCAGCCTAAAGTTTATTTTCTGGCTAAATAGTTCCAGTTCTCTCTCAATGTTTTTCTCATAGGGCCCAGTTTTGAGCGCTTCCAACACTCCACAGCTCAACCACTCTCTTCTGGAAACATTTATGTTTGTTTTCATCCTTCTGCTTTTCTAAGAGCGTGCTGTTCAGACGGAATACAGGGCCAGGTGGCTTCTGACCCACAGAGAGGAGAGAGAGAGCTTACCTCCTTAGTCTTGGTATTGTCTACACTGAGTCCCTTTGGGCAATTTTCAACATCCTATACCCACTCACACCACTCACTTTGACTCAGACCCTGGGTCTTTTTCACAGGTCCTGCTGTGAGCCATACGCTCGCTACCCTTCCTGGGTGCAAACAGTTGTTTTTCTCTTTTGGGGGGCTTGGAGATGAGGGGAGACAGAGAGTACTTGTTTAACCTTATCACATTTCTTCAGCTCATCTCTTCAACCTGTCTGGTTTCTGAAGAGTCTAATTCTGCGCGTCATCATATCGACCCCTCCATCCTCATGCCACTCAGGTCTGAGGGTTGCACCTGGAGGACTCCTCCACAAGCGGCGCATAAAATTCACAGCAAGATCACAGCTCAATATGGAGCCCATGTTCCTCTAAGCTTGGTCTGAGATCCAGGACCTGCTCAAACACAGAGAATTAGCTTCTGGTCCTGCTCTGTCCCCAGCTGCATGGCCCTTTTTCTCCTTTTGCTTCTTGGGGCTTCTATCACCTTGTCTGTGAAGGGACGAGATGGGTAAAAGGAGGTCTAAAAAGTCTGCAAACTCTGTACTTTAGATTCAGTGATTCAAAGTCTGCAGGTCCCAAATCACCATGAGGAGGAAAACTCCGGGAATCCAAGTTCTCGCCAGATGCACATTATTCACACAGTGATATAGCCTCAGGGGCTGTCTCTGGGGGGAGGAGGCTGGTGTGGACCATGGAACACCACTGTTAAGGCTCCTGGAACCCTGAAACCTGTTCCCTGGCCCTCCTGTAGGAAGGAGGCAGGGCTGGGCTGTGAAAGGGGAGAGGAAAATAGTGTTTGAAGGACAGTGGCCTTGAATCAAAGGCAGGAAGTAAAAAGGTGCAGGTTGGGGTCTTTTAGGAGACAACTGGGACAGGTTTGGGGATCTTTGAGCCCAGGGCTGGCAGCTGAGCTCTTTATCTCTGAGCAACATCACAACAGCCTCCCAGCTGCCCCTAGCTCATCTCAAGGGCTCACAACAGGATGCGGTTTGACATTTAGCAGGTCCTGCATCTGGGGGCCTGTGAAAGCCCTCCCCCCAACCCCGCTTCTGAGCATAATGAAAACCACACTCACCACATCCTGCCCCAACCCCTTCCCTGCCACTCTTTCTGCTGAGCCTCCGGTGAGCACTGTGGCAGTGGAAATAGAACCACAGAGGGAGAGGAAAGGCCCTTTAGAGGGGGATCCAGTCACCTCAGCTCCCCGTGCAGACCACCCCACCCCCAACACAACATCTGCACCTGCTGGGGTGACCCCGAGATCAGAGGCTGCAGCAGGCACCATGGAGATAGTGAAGAATGAAAACAGCTGCAAACCGCTCTGACCCACTTGGTCCCTCTTGGCCCCACATCACTTGAGCAACTCCTTCCTCCCACCTGCTCCCAAAATGTACACCCCCACCGCCTTCCCCCTCCCCAGTTGTGCCCTCCTACTTCCTTCCATTCATCTAATGAGAGGTGCTAATGAGTCACAGAAAATGCAGCCCCAGATAATCAACAGATGGAACATGGGCAGTCCCTGGGTATCTGAGCTGGCATCTATGAGCTGGACTCCCTGAGAGTCCTGCTGAGGCCTGTGAGAACTGTGTGATGGATATTTTCTATCCCAGCTGGCCAAGAGGAGGAGGGAGAACATAATGCAGAGAGAACAGAGAACCAGACAGAGAGAATCCCCTGAAGGAGGGAGTGGGAAATGATAGTCTATGTCACAGGCTAAGTAAGGGTGCTTGGGCTACACTATTCTCAATGCAAAGCATATCATCCTGGACAAAAATACGAAGCAGCCCATTTTCAGCACCACCAGCTCTCCAACACTGGGCCCTTCCTGTCTTCCTCAGCTGTTGAGAGCTCCTGGCTCATTCCCTATCAATCCCATGAGTGCCTGAGATCTAGGCAAAACAACTTGAAAGGAGCTCCTTTGGCCCCCAGCACGTGGCTTCTGGATCTTCCACGTGGCAGTGGCCTAGGAATGACATGCATGGGAACTGTGATCCTGGCATGCCTCCAAAGTCGGCCAAGAATGGGGTCCTGGAAGCTCGCCTATAAAGGAGCCAGATTCATCTGCCCCAGGCACACGTGAGCGTGATGAATTCCTAGCAGCATCTGCCATCCTGAGCTGGTTTCCTTTGTCCCCTGCAATTAAGGTGCTGGCAGATTTCTGGGTCCTGAGACATGGGGAAACCGTTAGGGATTGAGGACTCTTATTCATGAATAAGGGCAGATAACATGGAGGATGTTAACTTGTTTTGAGGAACTTGGATGGCTTTCAAGCCTCCCCTTGACAAGTCTCCCCTTACCTAGTAATGCCCTCCTGTCTCTCTGTCACTCCACTCTGTGCAACGATCAGGGTTGTCCACTCACTGCTTTTCTAGAACTCACAATATTTACTGGGCACTCCACGTTTCTCTTCAAACAGATTCTCCAGCTGAGAATGTCATTCTGCTTGTCTAAATGCTAGCCTCCTAAAAAGCTAACCGTCACTAAAACCTCTCCTTTGTGAAGTTTTCCAGAACTTCTGAATATCTTATGGGAATGAAAACCTGTCTTACCTCTCCTACCCCTTGACGAGTAGGGATTACCAGGAACAGCTCTCTGTGAAGGATTCTGAAGCTGCCTCAAACCCCACCAGAAGCCACCAGCACGTGTATGCGCTCCACACAGGGTACAAGTTTCACCAGCTTGCCATCCAAGAATATTCAGCATTTTTAAATATTTGGTACACAGCCTAAAATTTAATGTTTGGTTGTTTTTTTTTTTTAATAAGTCTTTCTTTTGGGTGAGTTGGGACCGAAATATCTTTGCAAGCTAAAAGAGGAATACAATATCTGTTGAAAATTGGACCCTGTAATAGGGCTTTCGAACACCAACATCTCATTTAATACACTGAATCCAGTGAGGGAAGTTTGACAGGTGAGGAAAAAGAGAGATGAGATAATTAGCCCAAGGTTAAAACCAACTGGTAAATTTAGACTCAAAAACCAAGGTGCCTTAAAAATACAGACAGAAAAGGTCAGGGAATGAGGAGAGAAGTGAATAAGGAAAGGCCAGGACATGTGGGCAGGTAGAATTGTTCACAGGACATTGGTATCTTTGTCAAAAACCACTGATAGGTACAGCCTAAGAAGTAACAAACGTGCCACACCAGTGTCAGAGGTTAGTAATGGGAAACCGGGGGAGCAGAGGGACAAATGTGAGAACTTGCTCCGTTATCCATCCCCTCAATGTTGAGGTGACTCTACGCCTGTTGTAAATCCTGAAGTCCACTAACTGAAAGTAGTCCGGCAGCACTCTTTCAGGGAGCGCTCCGACTCTGCTAATGTTCAACGATCAGCTAACAAACATCAGCCTGAAACGTTGTTTACTTTTAAGTGTGAACCGAACTTGAGTTGCAAACGCATCTTTACTTTTGTGGTGGTAGCACTAGGGCTTGCCTTCGTAAATTAGTATTTTCACACATGGGGGAGAAAAAAGCCAACCAAGTGCCTTGATGAAGCCACGCTGGGACCACTATGCCCTGCACCATCTTGAGTGCCCTTTGTTTTTCTTTCTGGTCCCTGTGATGGCTCAGAGTGCCCAGTGAGTGTGAGCTGCTTGATTCAGAATCAGATCCTCAAGGTACAGCAGGAGCCCTTGGGCATTTGTAAACATGGTCTTGATCACCATGCATCTGTGTCTCAGATTTCCCTCTGCAGATCATAAGGTACCGAAAATAAACAAATGTCTGAACTGTCCTAGACGAAGTGATGCCAGAACAGAGTATTTTAAGATTCTTGTGCCCCCTCGTGGAGCACAGAGGACATTAGAAAAGAAAGCTTGTTAAGAATAAGGAGGACGAGGGAGGGATGCGGAAGGAACCTCGGTTGCCAAGGGAACCGAAGCATCTCTTCCCAGCCACCCCCAGAAGCCTTTTCCTCTCCTTCATTCTCATCCAAGTAATTTCTCTTTTTTAGGGTTTTACCGTGATACATGTGTGCCCTCATCTTGTTCTCTCTTTTGTATGTCTTTGGTCACCATCTGCTTCTCTGCTCCCTTTTGCTACATGGGAAGGGATGAGACACAGTAGAATACGAATTAAAAAGCCTAAAATCCAAAACAAGAATCACAATCCCTACGTATGATTTCTGATACTAACAGGAGCTCACTTTCAGTCCGCAAGAGCCTACTTGAACACCTTGCTCCTTCCCCAACACAAAGCCTCATCCAAGCTTCCCCAAGACGTCTCTCTCTGCAGAAAGATCAACAGAAGGAGACTCTCCAGGTGAGGAAAATTAGCCACTGAAATCACCCGAGTTGGCATCCTCATCCTTGCCCACCTGTCTGTCACTACACCACATCCTGCTATTGGCCTTTCCCACCTCTGTCACTCTCCAGTGTGGACAGATAGGAATTTGGGAGAAGAGAGTGTGAGGCAAGGTCCAGCTCACTTTGAGGGTTTAAGTATAACAGCCCAGGACAGTGCGTCCATGCACTGGGAATTTGACGACGTGTACTCAATTCACAGGTCCGGCACTGAAATATCTTTTTGTTCTCCCTGAGAACTTAGTAAAGTTCTTTCGGAAGAGTCTGGCTTGATTCTCCTGTTCTCACAGTGGCTGATAATCAGGCACCCAAGTATCCTCCACCCAGCCCCAGAGTCAGGGCTGCAAGAGAGGGTGGGGTTTTTGTACAGATGTCTGCCCCACCCACCTCCGTGTGACACTCCAGGCGCAGAGATAGAAGCCAGAGTCACTGAGCAGGAGCTTCTCAGAATTCAGGATGAACTGGCCATCCGTGGGCCTGAGGGCTGTGAAGTTCTGCGGTGTCTCACGAACTATCTGGTCAACATTTACGGAGGAGAAGAGCAACTCTGGGGTCCCTCCCGGGAACTGCTGGTACCAATACAGATAAGGGACTGATGTCCCCTTCACGGTGCGTTCCAGAGCAAGCAGGCCGCCCACAGGCTGCATGCTGACAGGCGGCCATTGGTGGATGGTTGGAGCTCTGACACCTGAGGGAAGGGTAAAAGGCCATTTAGAGTGAAGAATCCCAGTTAAGCTTGCCTTCCTTCCTGACCCAGGGGTGGCTCAGGCATATGGGATCCATTGCAGGAAGTAGACTGGGAGGGCAAAGGGTACAGAAGGGCACTGAGCAAGGGGAGACCAAGAGAGCAAACTCTTTCCCAGAAGATAAGAGAAAACCAAGACTCAGCATGCCAGCCACTAGGATTAAAGTCCCATATTATACCAGAAAATGGAAGGACTGTACTAAAGGGAATCATTCCAACAGCTGAGGCTCTGGATAGGTAGGGTTGGCGTGAGGGTGAGGACTTGAGGGGAGGCATGCCAGAGAGAAGAGCACCCACCTACGAAAGTGCCCAAGAGAAGCGCAAGGAGACAGCAGGACATAGTTCAAGCCAACCTCAGCTCAGTCAGTGGGGTTGACACCTTCTTATCTGGGCCAGTGGCTGCAGGCCTCCTGCCTCTTCACGTCTGCAGCCACAGAGCAGAGGGATCATCTCCCCTCAAGCTGGGGAGGAAATGAGGCTGGTCCTTTCTTAAGTGTGTGATGAATCACTCCATCCTCCCTGGGAACCAGCTTTACCCGGCTGCCTTATCTTTGCTGAAATCCTGCTGAAGTCCTAGTATGTAAATATATCCAATGACTCATTATTTACCGGTAAACAAAAGACGACTCTCTGGCTCCCCCTGGAGACCACTGAGAGTCATCGAAACCAACAGAGAAAGTGACATGGGCTGGATGATGAAAAGGGATTATTTCTGTCTCTGAAGCTAGAAACCAGCTATAGGACATGTCACCTGGGTAGCTGGAAAGGAGATAAAAGTGGATCAGAGCTCAAGAGATTTAGGTCTTCGGGGTATTCAAAGCAAAAAAAGGCTCAGCTCTGCGGGAAGGAAGCCGTTCTGACAGCCAACCAAGGCATCTATATCCTCTTCATCCCTGGCACACAGGATCTGAGACCTGGACAGGCAGAGTCAACTACTGAACTGATCAAAGTTGGACTCTGGGTTCCATGTGCCTCTAATGACCTTCCTACATCTCATTTGTGCTCCAAATGCAACATGGGTTAGAGGAAACATCATGGGGACTTAAAATCAAATAGACCTGGGTTCAAATCACAGCTCTACTCCTTGCTGGTTTAGGAAACCCTGATCTTCAGTTTTCTCATCTGTAAGATTAAGAGAAGGATTAGAATACCTCCAAACAGTTGAAAGATGAATGTCGTCTGGTGCAGGCAACACTTACAAGTGTTGGCTGGTTTTGGACTCGAGGGAGAGCCTGCGCCTGCCACAGCCTGGGAGATTTACAGTGGGATGGGATGGACGCTGGGGGCTGAAGGAATGACACATGAGAAGCATTGCCAAGCCATCAATTCATAATAACTGAGGATGAGGATTGGCTAAGCAGCTGGTAGAACCTCATTTCTGTTGAAATGAGCCATAAGACCCCACGATGCCTGGAGGACAGCCAATGTGGCCCAGCCAACCTCCTCTTTCCTCTTCCTTTGCCATGCCATGTCCTTTGAAAGATTCATTTTCAAAACAATTATTCTCTTTGGGCTGGCTGTGATGGAGTGCTTTAAGGTGAGTACCTAGGAAAGGAAGTAGTAGAAGTGAACTAACAGGGAGAAGGAACTGGAGGCAAATCAGGCATCTGTGACCCATCACCATTTCATCGGTGTCTAATGATGTAATATCTTTGTTATTATTGCCAATGCCTCAGTAACACAATTCAAAGTTAGTGTTGGGGTTCTAGTTTCTAACAGAGTATCAGGTGCAACACTGTATTTGTGAGAGACTATCGTGGTTTTTTATCCTTTCCATGTTTAATGAATACTTTTATAATATTTAAATAATGGTAAATCAAGTGCTAAGCATAGCGTGCATTCTGTGAACATTTAGAACATATGAAAAATTGCTATCGCCAACTAGTTGTTCACTCTCAGTTTTCAAAAGTCCTTTGAGGGAACCCAAACTAAAAGGTATGCATGTCAGGATTGGAGGGAGTGAGTCCAAGGTGGACACATGCCCACAGGCACACACACAGCCTCTTTTCTCCTTTCCTTTCCCTTTCTGTCCTCCTTCATGCTTGCCCCTGGAATTTTTATTGAGCGAGGGAAGGGAGGGAGACAGGGGGTGGCCACCGATAGATACAGGGTGAAGGGGGCGTTCTTGTTGATGAAATCACGTCATCTCTCCATTTGGCTGGCAGGCTTTCACACCAGCTAAAGATGTGTGGGTCCTGCACAGTCCATGAGAGCTGACGTAACTCATTGCCTGCATTGGCTCAGTGTCATCACCACGCATGGAGAGCAACGTGGTCTTCCTCCCTAGAGATGGCACAACAGACTGGAGGGCGAACAGACATGTCATCCAGATCTGGGAAGCCAGCTGGCTCCTGACTCTCTCATGATTGTCACAATTCAGTAGCTTGGAGCAACTTCCATATGGCTCATGCCTTAGAAAAATAGCTCCTCACTCTCCGTCCCCATCTGTAATATCGCTTATTCATTTAATTCATTCAAGTCATTCATATACTGAAATGTGGATGAGAATATGATTCCTCTACTCTGTTACAGCTGAGAGAGGAACCAGACATGTCTCTGGGCGGGATGAGGAGGTGTCGGCCAGACAAGCTGAACTGAAGGCTGGCTTGAACCGTGCTCTGCTGTCTCCTTGCCCTTCTGGGCAATTTTCTTAGGTGGGTGCCCGCCTCTCTGGCAAGCCTCCCCTCCAATCCTTTCGTTACCATTTTGGGTTTCTCTCTCCACACTAGATTCTTAATGAATCACTACTGACAGGATAAAGCTTTATACATGAAGAGACTGACAATAAATTTAAGTCTTCTCTTTTTAGTTTTAATACTGAAATCTGTGCCTAAATGATGGATTTGGAAGAAGACACTTGCAGGGTCAGTCTATTCCTCTATGAATGAGCTAAAAATTGCTTTGACTAAGGGAAAGAGAGGAGAGTCAGCCAAGGAGGGGTTCCTGCATTTCCCTAATCTCTCTTTCTCTGTGTCCTGGCCTCTCCACACTGATCAGGAAAAGAAATGAGAGATAGGTATAGAATCAGAAGCTCAGAGGTTCTTGAAGAGGAGGGTTATGCTAATTTCCAGGGTGAGGAGAACCAGGTCCTGAGTCCATACATGTCACTCACAACAGACCAGTAAGTAGAAATGGCTTTTGTAAGCAGAGTAGTGCGCCTTCCAAATCATCAACATCCTAATTCCCAGAACCTGTGAGTCTGTTGGTTACATAGCAAAGGGGAATTACAGCTAAAGATGGAATTAAGGTTTCTAATACATTTTGTTTAAAATAGGGACTCTATCTTGGATTATCCAGGTGTGTTCAATGTAAGCACAAGAATCCTTAACCATAGAAGGGGAAAACAGAACAGAGTTGGAGAAAGATGTGGTGCCAGAAACAGAGTCACAGAGATGCTGTTTCTGGATTTGAAGGCAGAAGGGGGCCATGAGCCCATGGGTGTGGATGACCTCCAGCAGCTACAAGAGGCAGAGAAATGGATTCTTTCCTAGAACTTCTAGAAGGGAACACAGCCCAGCTGACACCTTGACATCACCTTAGCAAAATCTGTGTTAAACTTCTGAATTATAGAACTATAAGATAGTACATGTGTATTGTTTTAAGCCACTAGGTTTGTAGTAATTTGTTATAGCAGCGATAGAGAACAAACACATGGCTCTACCGTGCTTCTTGACAGAGATACCAGAAACAGTCTCTAGGGACCCTCTAGGCACCCAGGATAGATTTGGAATAGCCATGCTCTCATTCATGTGAAAACAGATGAAGTGAGAGAAGCCATCAAGCCTGCAGAGACCTCCTGGTTGAAATATGAAAGACATGGGGTATCCTGCATAGATCAACAGGGACTGAAGGACAGACATACCAAAGAGGCAGCAGCTGTCAGTGGGGACAGAGGTGAAAAGCAGTATGAATGAGAATTCTGAAGAAAAGATAAACAATGACCAAAGACAAAAATCACTCCCGGACAATGCCTGGACACCTTGTAAACTACCCCCCCAGAACTTAGCTACCCCCAGGAAGAAAGATAAGGAGAAAAGCACTGTCCCACAAATCTGTCTAAGAAACCCCTGAATGTACCATGTGTACCCCAATGGAATGGGAACTTAAAAAATAAAATGATCCTAATTATAGAAAATAAAACTATTTTGCCTACCCAATATCTGAAGCCACAAATTTCATATCCAACTGACATGCATGTTAAATCCAATGGTAAGTAGGACCTATGGAAAACACAAAAATAAGTAAGATGTGATACTTGCTTTCCAATAACTTATTATCCATCGAGGAAAGCAATTGGTGGGAAAATCTTTCAGATAGCAAGGCTAGAGGAGAATGGGAACTTCCACTTCCTGCCATGATGAAGAAACTGGTATCCAGTTAGTCCTCTGTCTTTGTTTCCTTGAGCTGCTGTAACAAAGTACGGCACCCTGTGTGGCTTAAAACAACAGAAATTTATTGTCCCACAGTTCTGGAGTCTAGAAGTCCAAAATGAAGGTGACAGCAGAGCCATGCTCCCTCTGAAACCTGGAGGGGAATCCTTCCTCATCTGTTGCATTTGTTGACTTGCTGGCAGTGTTTGGCACTCCTTGGTTTGTAGCTACAGAACTCCAGTGCTGCCTTGGTTGTCATGTGGTGCTCTCCTCACGTGGCTGTCTTCTTACAGGAACACCAGTCCTATCAGATTAGGAGCCCACGGGACTCCAGTATGACCTCATCCTAACCCAACTAATTAGATCTGCAATGACCCTATGTCCAGTGAAAAGATCTTTCAAAAATCTTAGAAAAACTTTAATAATTCCTCACCAGGAGACACACACTACAAGGAATGTTAAAGATTCTCTTTCAGGCAGGAATTCTTTAAAAAGTCGAGAGGGACTTGGTAAGGCAGTTGTTGGGGAGACATGGGGGGCCATGATATAAAAAGGGGGAAAAAGCTTGGACGGATAGCACTGTCCAACATTATGAACATAAACCTTTCCTCCATGGCCAGATTCAAACTGTCAACAGTTTAACAGCAAAGTGAGGATATTTCTGAATATTTAACAGTTGTGTCTTGTAAGCTGCTATAAGCCAGCTACGGAAGATTACTGATAGAATATCAATAGTAAATATGTGATAAATATAAAAATGACATTTTTAATCTTTAAAATATTTTTCAAAATAGCTGATTTTCTACTTCCAGCCAAAATGAAATGAGGGACAAAATACACAAAACAATTGTGGTTAAGATGTTAGACATCAGGCAAGGAAGGACAGGAAAAGTCAGGTGAGTTTTATAATTGCCCAAGCTGCTCCTTTGAGAGAATTTCCAGGCTGTGGTGCACAGAGGGAAACCCAGGT